CGTGGTTATGGATATACTGTTCCTAGGTGAGCTCGGTGGTCAGATCCTCTGCCCACTGTTTCCCTGGTGTGGCCTCCGAAAGAGGTGTGTAGTCTAGTAGTAATTGGTAACACATGGAGATTGGTTTACATAGTACCGGTAGCCTTTTGTTAATGCAAATTGTTTACCACACCGTGGGTTTTTCGTTAGCTAATAGGCTCGGAGAGACCTGTGTATCATATTTGTGTAGGAATGAATGTAGTTGTCTGTAGGAGAATTGTTGGACTGTAGGAGAATTGCGGGACTGGAGAGTTCGGAAGTCTTGTAACCGTGTGTTAGAGTAGAAATGAGTCAAATGTGTGAGAATCTCTCTTGCCATGGCTTGGCATAAAAGGTGGGAATGCAATACATGGGGGTGGCTCGGGAAATTGGGTGTTTGCAGCGAGGTTAGCTCCTCTGTGATAGCGTTGTGAGTACTTCCCATCTCTTTCAAGTTATACAGTTTAGAGTAAAAACTTGCAAATTCATGGCTAATATCTTTGGGAGTAACTTTCTTTAGGCCATCATTTCCTATCTCATGGGCAATCTTAGAACTGGAATATTTGTTGTGGAGCCTGGAGGCTAGATATTTAGTGGCTTTTCCGCTAGTGTGGTACACATTGGTTTGTGGAGCATGTTCTTGGTTTTCTCTGCATTGAGCGTATTCAGTCGTGTAAAGCGTGTTGAGCTGTTCTGCTAGGTCGAGGGAGGGTCGGAGTTTATTCTGCTTAGTAGTTATGGCTATCTGTCTGTGGCAATCTAGTAGGTCTGTCATGTGCTGTTTTTTTTAGGAATGAGGAGCATCTCATAAATAGCCCTTGCACTACTGCCTTGTGTGCTGACCAGAGTGTGAACTCCGAGGTCTCCTCGTTCGTATTTATTTTTGAAGTATTCTTGTAATGCTACTCTGATGTCATCTGCGAAGGATGCATTCGACAGCAGGGAATCATTCAGGCGCCAGGACCCTCTGCCTCTAAATTGGAAGGCATCCAGGAGGTTTAGATAGACCGGGCTATGATCTGACCAGGTTATTTCCCCTATGGTACATTGCGTTAATTGTGGCAAAAGTGTTCTGTGCAGAAAGAAGGTGTCTATGCGTATGTATGTGTTTTGTACTCGTGAATGGTACGTGTAATCCCTATCTGTTGGATGCAGGGTTCTCCAAGCGTATATAAATCGTATTGGTCAAGTAGTTTGGTGAATGCTTTATATAGAGTTTCTGACATCCGTTTATTTGTGCCCTTGGGAGTTGCAGTGTTGTCTAGTACAGGTGACTGGATGTAATTAAAGTCCCTGCAGAGTATCACGTCGCCCTGTCTATATTGATCAATCTTGTTCAGCAGGGAGCTCAGGAAGTTTCTGGGATGGTCGTCGGGGAAGTAGGCAGCCACTAGAGTCAATTGGACGTTATTGAACTGGCCCACCAGGATAACACATTTTCCACTGGGGTCTACGTATTGGCGTTGTGGAATGTAGGCTATGTCCTTGTGTATCAAGATCGATACTCCCTTAGATTTGGTGCTAGCCAGCGAGTGTACCTGTATGGGGAATTGTTTGGTGAAGATAGCAGGGGTGTGATTGTTCTTAAAATGGGTCTCTTGTATGCAGGCTACATCCACTCCCTTCTTAGTTAAATCTCGAAGAAGCAGCCTACGTTTACCTGGGGTGTTGAGGCCCTTTACATTATAGGAAACCAGTTTCATACTTGCACAGGTCTAAAGCGAGTTCGCTTATATTGGGGATTCCTGTGAATGGTTGTCGGGTCCGCTTTTAACCTACTGTGTCTAATGTTTCATATTCTGGGAGGTAGCTTTGAGCAAGTTTTTTGATTGATTCGTTGCAGGTAGGGTGAGTTATGTGTCCTGGCGACAGTGGGGTGGGGGGGTATACACAGAGGGTTAACCGGGGAGGAATGAAAATTCATGGGCAACTTTCCCTATAAAGCTCCCTAAATGGAAGCCAAGGTGCGCCGAGAGAAGCTTGGGCACATATAGTGGGGGTCGTGGGGGTGAGCGTCCTCGTTAGGGTGGTAGCTCACGGCGGTGGCAATACGGAGCATTGTAGTGCTTAAGGGGTGAGCTAGGAGCGTAAGGCTCCTCAGGCTTTAACACTGCAGACATGGCTTGAACGCTGCGGGTATTACCTGAGGTCAGGGGCTAAAGAAACGCCGGCTGAAAAAGCCGGGACTTTTAAATGGTCTGTGAGTCAATCAGATTGAGGAGGGTATGTTTTAGATATAGATGTCCATCATAGTGGTCCCGCCCCCTCCTCTCAATGCGTCCACGTGGGACCTCGCGTCATGGATCACGTGAGGACTATCCCATATGTCATTAATGACGATTCACTTTGGAGGAGGGGCTGAGACAGGGAACCCCTGCAGATGATTGGCTCACAGACCATTTAAAAGTCCCGGCTTTTTCAGCCGGCGTTTCTTTAGCCCCTGACGAAGGTGTTATTTAGACACCGAAACGCGCGTCGGGTGACTGATATGCCCTGACTGCTTTTTATTTTTATTTACTTTCTTCACTAATGGGTTGGGCACTATAGGGTTGAACACCAAGTAATTTTCTTTTCTTAACTCTAACCGGTGGGGATCTTGTAGCAAACAGGTAGTGGGCGATATTTCCTTAGAATGAGCAGTCAGATTAGAACACCCACGAAGGTGTTTCATGGAGTTTAGGGACAGATTCAGTTTTTGAGGTTGATTCATGTATTTAGTATATTAGAAAGGGTGTGTATTCACCCCTCCCTGCTTCTGTCCCTTCATATTTCTCATTTGATTCTTACCCTTGATAGGGATCTATCCTCTTCTACTTCTCTACTAGAATGTTTAAGCCCTATTGATCCTGTTGCTACTAGTATTGAGCTACATCAATACAATCCATTTTGGATGTTTATATCAAGAATCTAGCTCTATCTCTACCATGAGTTTTTGATTTAAGGGGATAAAGCCTCCCCCTTTTTTTCTTTTTGGGGTGGCTTTTTCTTTTTTGGCTAGTCCTTTTTTGTGATTCAATAAAGATTTTTTATTTTTACTTACTTAATCTAGCCTTCTAGAAGAACCAAGGGTCTCCTGTTCAATATAAATGGTATAGTTGTATTTAGACCCTGTTCTTTCTTTTCCCCTTTATAAGACCCCACTGGTTATTATTATTACTATTTTGTGCATAAGTGGTTCATATTTGTCCATTTATTATTTGTGTCAGCATTTTATGATCTCCCTAGATGGAGATCACACTTACTATTTTGTAAATCATTAGGGTCCAAGCCCTTGGTGGAGCTGACAACACCAGCTGACCAAAAGGCTCTGTGTTGCCTCTCACGCCCCATTGTTCCACTATTGGGACGTCCTTGGCAAACAGAGCTCCTATTTAGCTATATTATATTACCTGAGGTCACTCAGTTCGCTGTAGCGCTGCAATTTCCATGCCTACCTGTGTAGCATATATACCTGACACAACGGATCTTGGGGGATACCCCTGTTATATTCAACCATAACCATAACTTTAGTTAACCTTAGAAGTAAAAGCTTGTGGTACATATATATTTTAACAGATAGTTCTGTACAGTGCAATAAAGGAAACTAGCGGGCTTCCATTGTCGTGGAAGTAGGCAGTCTTTTTAGTTTTCCACTCTGGGGACATTCTTGGAATTTTAGTAGGGTGGTGTTGTTGCGCCGCTGGTATCGGGAGGCCCCAGGATTTCAGCTTGGCGATGCCCAGCTCCAGGGATGGGATGGCGTGTAGTGCTTCTCTGTAGTGGACCAGAAGTTTGGCCGCATATCCCCATCTGTAGACTATGTTTTGATCCCGCAGTGTGGACGTAACAGGTGCCAAATTTTTCTGAAATTGTAGCGTTGCCGCATACAAGTCCGCAAATATCTTATTCTGGCCGTGGGGGTCTGGCATGCCCGAGGATCTGGAGGCTTTCACCAACTGCTCTTTAGCATGGAAGAAATGTACTCTGGGGATGATGTCCCTCTTGGTTGTTGGCGGTAAGTGTTGTGAGCAACGGAGCCTGTGTGCCCGGTTCACTATGAGTTGGTCTGGATAGAGTGCGGGGGTGAGAGCCTGGAACATGTCCATCAGGTAGTTGTTAAGGTCTTTGGGAGTAACCGTCTCCGGTATGCCACGGATACGGATATTATTCCTCCTGGACCTCCTCAAAATCTTCTAGTTTGAGCCTGTAGGAGCTGAGGATAGTTTCAAACTCTTGGACCTTATCCGCCAAGCTGTTGTTGTGCTCCATTTGGGATGTGCGTTGGCCTATGTCTGTGATATCCTTGCGGAGCTCTGATGCCAGGGCCTGCAGTTGCGTTTTTATGTTCGCCCGCAGAGTTTCTGTAAGCTCGGTCAGCATATGGCGCATGGTGCTGGTTGTGAGAGGTCCCTCCTCTGCTATAGAACCAGGTGAGGCCGGGGGCGATGTGGATCCCTCTCTTGGTCTTGTTGCGGCGCCATCTTTAGCTAGGCCTTGTCCTTCCCGTGGTTTCGTCTCCGCAGTCCGTGCTAGTAAAAAGGACGCTCTTAACGCTTTGGCAGCTTTGCCTTTCTGTCTCTGCGACTTGGTGCAGGTTGCTACGCAGGTAAGTGCTCATTAGATCGATTTAATTAAGCTCCAGGGCACCTGAACATCGGGAACTTCACCAGCGTGCGTCCATCTAGTTCAGGCTCCAAGCCACGCCCCCCTGAAGTTTTATTTTTGTGGATGAAATTTAGCTAATAAAAGCCTTCTCTGCCTCTTATTTTACAGCTTTTAGTAGAAAGCTGGACTACAAACGCCATAACACTAAACCTTTACTGCATAAGAGTTAATGGCATATGCACAAAGCTTGCTAATTTTTAATGCTTGAATGAATGAATGAATGAATGAATGCAGTTCAGTTGTGCAATGCAAATGCAACTACTGCTGTGTTTTTCATCTTTACACTAGTTTGTTTATTACTCCACAAACCCCGCCCTCCTCCCCCAGTCTTAGATATCCCCAATATCCAGGTGGGATAAGGTCAAGGTAGAAGTAGGAAGAATACATTTATGAAAGCAGAAACTGATAATGTGTTTTATAAGAAAGCAGGGATATTGGAAAGTATGTAGCGAGCTTTAATAGAAGAAATTAGGCCTGTAGGAGCTAGTAATGATTTGGCAGAAATAGGAATTACGATAATGCTCATCAGTGCATTTACACTATTGTATTTGTACTGTACAATTGTCTAAACAGGGGGAAGGAGAAGTGATATTTGATGATGAGCTTACTAGTTAGTCAAAACCAAACATATTCTACAACATGCAACTATAGAGTAACAAAATATCCATGAACTCGATGTAAAAGCAAGTTGTTGCATACAGGAACAGCATCTGACAATGACCATTGAAGTAAGCTTACAGGATAAATGAGTTGTCATTCCACTAGAGGTACACAAATGCAATTTATACAGTGGCCTAGCCCTATATACCAGGGAGGAGGAGGTAGATTGCCAGGTATACACTCCATATCAAACCACTCCATTATTTATAGGCAAGTAACTTTACTATAGTTTATAAAGTGAGTGTAGATTTAGAAAGCGAAGTAAGGATGGCTCAGTCAGTAAGTGGAATGACAGGTTGTGTGAGTTGAATTTTCCTGTGAGGTTGGCTGCACAACAAAACTAATCTGGGCTGAGTTGCTAACTAAAACAAGACCACCTGTTGTCAAACCAGAGTTGTGAGAAAGCACAGCTAGTGATGGATGGCATCCTGATATATTTAATTTCTAAGTATTGCATAGGAGGGCTTGAATGCAGTGAAAAAAATACAAATATTTACATAGCAGGTTGATGTGCTGTTGGATAAACATTGACTTTAACACATCTGGTTTTAGATGACATTGTATACATTTTTTTTTTAAATCTCTTGTGACTCGTGCCTGCAGCCTTGCTTTACATTTTGAATACATGGTTGACCTTGGTGTTCTGTTGCAAAACAATTCTAATAATGTATAAAACTGAAATGTGCATACAGTAGTACCAAGCAAGACTAGGTACGATGACCACAAAAGTAAAAAATTGAGTATTGATTATTTTAAGACAAGTACATTATTCTTTATTTTACCAACATAAGACCACTTCCCTTATGTTTGCATAGCTAAATCACACTGTTATCCAACAAACAAAACAGACATTTATAGAAATTGGTGTGTGTATATAATTGATTACATTTGTATAAACAGTCACCTATTGTTTAATTAAATTACTATACCCTATGAGATATATTCACTAAACTAAGACTTGCATACCTCCCCAACATCAGCAGTTCTACAATCGGGTAAATGGGGGCAGTCCAGTGATGCAAAACTGTCACTGGCTCTCCCGCAAAAAGAGGCGGACCTGCACAGAAAGAGGTATGAATACACACCAGGCTGCCTGCCGATCATGTTAGCTGGCCTTCCAAGGGCTGATCCCGCAGATGACTTCCCTGCAGGGTCCTAATGCTCTTATGAAGTACGCGAGCAATGATTGCTGGGGGCAGTTTACTGCTGTCCACAAAAGCGAACTCCAAGGCTGAGATGATCAGTCTTCATTATCTCAGCTAATTCAGAGCTTTCCTATAAGAAAACATTGGGAGGCTATTGCACATGTGAGGCAAAACACCGTTCTGCACCAGTCAGCATCTCCTCATAGAGATGCTTTGAATCAGTGCATCACTTTTGGGAACATTCAGCGCCTCCATGCTCTCAGGAATCTGATTGGCGCAGCACGGCGTTTGCCTCAGATGTGTACTAGCCTCCCAATGCTTTCCTATGGGAAAAGTCTTGGCTAAGATCATCATCATTTATCATCTCAGCCAAAGAGATAAAATCTGAACAAGGAGACAGGAGTGACGAAAGGAAAAAGGTGAGTTAACAACTACATATATTTTACCTTGGCAGCGCTGGCCAGGTCAACTAAATGAAGACTAGGGCACTATAATGTTAGGAATACATATTTATATTGTTAAAGGGACAGTACAGTCCCCAAAAGCTTTAGCATATATAAGCAGTTTTTTGTGTATAGTTCATGCCTCTGAAATAAATTTAGGAGTTAAATCACTTTCGTTTTTGTTTATGGAGCCCTAGCCACACCTTATCTGCCTGTGACTGACACAGCCTGCATGAAAAAAAGAGCTTCATAAACACAGTGATTTAACGCCTAAATGGCAGATAATTGAGTAGTGAGACTGCAGGGACATCTATACATCAAAACTGCTCATTAACCCCTTAAGACCGGAGGGCGTACTATTACACATATTACACATATACATACACACACATATACTGTCTAGGTGTATTTTACTATTAATAAATATATATAATTATATATATTAATATCAAATTACACGTAGACTGATACTGATTTTTTATATATATATATATATATATATATATATATATATATAAAATTATTGTTATATATATATTTATATATAATATAAAAAATTTAATATGTAAATACGTATTTAATTTAATAAAAAAATAATTAAAAAATATATAAATGTGTGTTATTTCATTCTAACTGTATTGTGATATTAATATATATATATTTATATCAAAATACACGTAGAACGAAATAATATATATATCTATATACATAAATATATACGTGTATATATCACTATATATATAACCATATATAAATAAAAATATAAAAATTTTTTTTATATATATATATATATATATATATATATATATATATATATATACACACACATTAATTCTACATATATATATTTATGTAATATTTTTACATAATTAGGTATCTTAATTAATTACAATTAGCGGGACCTGCCTCACAACCCATGCCGAGAGTAAAGGGAATTTAATTTGCTAGCACTATATTTAACCCTATAACTTTCCAAGACACCATAAAACCTGTACATGTGGGGTACTGTTCTACTCGGGAGACTTCACTGAACACAGATATTAGTGTTTCAAAACAGTAAAATGTATTAGAACGATGATATCTCCAGTAAAAGTGACATTTTTTGCATTTTTCACGCACAAACAGCACTTACACGGACGATATTATTGCTGCGATACTTTTTACTGTTTTGAAACACAAATATTTGTGTTCAGCGAAGTCTCCCGACTACAACAGTACCCCTCATGTACAGGTTTTATGGTGTTTTCAAAAGTTACAGCGTCAAATATAAGGCTTGTGTTTCATTTTTTTCACATTACAATTCGCCAGATTGGTTACGTTGCCTTTGAGACACTATGGTAGCCCAAGAATGAAAATTACCCCCATGATGGCATACCATTTGCAATAGTAGACAACCCAAGGTATTGCAAACGGTGTATGTCTAGTCTTTTTTAGTAGCCACTTAGTCACAAACACTGGCCAAAATTGGTATTTTTTTGCACACACAAACAAATACTAACACTAACTTTGACCAGTGTTTGTGACCAAATGGCTACTAAAAAAGACTGGACATACCCCTTTTGCAATACCTTGGGTTGTCTACTATTGCAAATGATATGTCATTATGGGTGTAAATTTCTTTCCTGGGCTATTATAAAGTCCAAAAGGCAACGTAACCAATCTGACGAATTTCATTTTCAAATGTAACGTGCTATATTTGACCCTGTAACTTCCCAAAACGCCATAAAACCTGTACATAGGAGGTACTGTTTTACACGTGAGACTTTGCTGAATACAAATATGTGTATTTTATTGCAGTAAAAGCAAACAGTATTATGACATTGACCATTACAATTTCATGTAGAACTAAAAAAATAAAAAGCAAATCGTATTTTCTCCCATTGTTTTCATATTAAATTATGTTTCATAGCTAAATATTTGATATTAAATGAAAGCCCTGTTTCCCCTGAGTAAAATGATATATACTAAGGGTGGGTGTATTTAATATGAAAGAGGTGTATTACGGTTGGACAGACATGTAGCGCAAATGCCAGGTTTTGTTTACATTTTGTTTTGTTCACAACGTGTACATTTGGCTCCGTCCTTAAGGGGTTAAACCAAAGTTGTTTTGGTGACTATAGTGTTCCTTGAAGCCTTCTATTTAGAGAAGAACTAATTGTAATGTATTATCTAATCCAGGGCTTGACAGATTTGCTTTGGATCTAGGAGCCAGCTAAAAAGGTTAGGAGCCAGGTTTTTTTTTTTTTTAACTTACAAAGCTTTATTTTCAATGACATAAATAACTATAGTGCCCAATTAAAAGTTTTACCAGGACCACTACATCTTAATGTAGTGGTTCTGGTGTGTCTAGCCTCTCTCTGCCTATCAGGAGATGCTGATTGGTGTAGCATTTTGCAGCGCACATACAATAGCTTTCCAATAATTTCCTATGGAAAATCATTGGAATGGCTGAGATCATGAAGCTTGATTATCTCCG